GTTTAAGTCAAGGTTCTGATAACAAGTGTAGTTCGGTTTTACATGCGTGTCTACACATGTTTTTACACGCACCTAAACTTAATGCATATTAAGGCGATTTAGGTGCATGTCTACACATGCATGCACTAAGGCACATTAATGCAGTGTGCAGACCAATTTGGGACTAAAGTTAGCCCTAAGTCAGTTGACATACATAGCATTAATGCGCCTTAGCATGTCTACATGTGAGTTAAGGCGTTTTAGCTATTCATGCCTAAATTTGATACCTCCTTTTGCAAGTATCAAATTTGGGTATAAATAAGTTAAAATAGCCATTTTCAAGGAGCATTAAGGGCGCGCATGCCCTTAATATGCCTTAAAAATGGCTAATGCACCTTAAATCGCCACGTGTAGATGCACCCATATTATCTGATTTTAAGTATTTTGTTTTAGCTGTTAGGTAGTTGGCTGTGCTTTCTATCACAGTATATCTTCTTGAGCAGGAAGACTAAGAACTATTAATCTATGAAACATTGGAGTGCTTTCTTTTCTTGGAGCACAGTTGAGCCATTTAGAGCATTGTTTTTCTCTATCTCTTTATTTTTAAAATCCCATTTGTGTAGTAGATTCTTTAGTGCAAAGGGTGAGTTGATTTAATTTGTAAATGGATAACAATGAAAGCTACTTTACATTTGTCATGTATGATCTCCTGTTAACATGTTGAAAAGCCAGAACAAATAACTTTTATTAAAAGCTCACATAATTTGTAGAATGACATTTATGTGTGGTGAGTGAAGAAGGCCAAACAAATAATATTTATGTAGCTATTTAGAAAGATACTAGTAAAGAAGGATGAGTGGTAACATCTGGTGTTGTCTGCTACTGGATTTGTTTAATAATTAACAAGTTTGTTTAAATCTTACCGGATGCCTGGATTTTGTAAATGCCACTTTGAATAGGAGGTGTCATAAAGTGTCAGGCCCTTAAGGCTCTATTAGTCATCAGTCTCCTAGGTTATTTTTTAAGTGCCACTTACTACTAGTAGGGGAGATAAAATTCCCTTTCTGACCTAGTACCTAACATGACCCTATATGGATGACATTAAAATAGGACACTTGGCACTCGACACTTCTTGCTGGTTTAGGTAGAAGTATTAACATAACTTCCAGCCCACCTAAAGGAAGATTTAGTATTTCAGGTTTTTTCCTGTTTGTTTACATCAGTGTTGCCAACTCGTTCGGGCCACATGGGCCCATCTTGGTCACCCCTGGTTTAGATACAAACTTGTAAACTTGTTCTAAGTATACAAAGTCCTACTTTCACATACATCAGTTTCCCACAGTTGCAAACCCATTGACTCCAGTTAAATTATCACTCATTAGCATCAGTATAATTGAGCAGAATTGCATCCAGTAAGTTAATTAATATCTTTTAGATTTTTTAAACTACCAGCATTAATTTGGTCAGAAATTGTTTGGGATGCTGAAATCCGCAGTTTATCTGACCTTGGAACTTGCCAAGTGACTGAAACAAAAGCCACTTTTTACCATTTATTGTCCTCTTTATTTTTTATTAAATGTCCTCTGTTCAAAGGCACATTACAAGTTAAATCATTCCATGTGGTTCAGTGCGCCTACTCATATCAGAATACTTAATACTCATATCAGATACTTAATAAGTATCAGAAACACTGATACTTATTAAGGTTACCTGCTATTTAGTAGGCCCGTGCGAAGCGGCTAGTATTTGTTTTGGATTTGGATTCGGCCGATTCAGGGGACAGTGATTCGATTCAGTGATTCGAATCACTGTTCCGAATTGATTCACCCGAATCTGATTCGGAGACTCAGCTGCTGCTGAATTGGCTGAATCTGATTCGGAGATTTGGTAGCTGCTGAATCAGCCGAATCTCTGAATCACACAGGCCCCATCCCTTGCCTGCTCTCAATGGCTGCCCTGCCTGTCCCAGCTCCCGGCACTTTGGGAAAAAAAAGCCCCAACTCCCTGGTTGCTGCCCAGCGGGGGGTGATACCAGCTACTCCCCACTGCATCGGGGGCTCTGCCGTGAGTCCTTCCCCCCCACACTGTCCCAGCCCCCGCCCCATGGCGCGCCCCCGCA